CGAAAATTTAATCTTTGCGAATCCTTGTCTCAAAACGTCAATTTTGTTTTGTTGTCAGCTGTCATCTAGAAACTGACGGCCGTGTTGCCGTCATGAACCAAAAATACAAGATCACGTAAGAACGCGACGTTGTATTTGTAACTGGTTTTGAGAAAAAAGTTTTGCGAAAGCGGGTTCGTCAGCTGAGCGTTTGTTTACATCACATGCACCACTATTTTACACTTTTATTCTAGTGAAGAAGAGTTAATTCAACATGACAACACATTTTAAAGCATTTTGTTGCATCATTTTACCTAAATTGTGCGTTTAAAGTGGATGACAATAATTTTGGGTAATTTTGGTTTTCGTTGTTTTCTTTGCTTTGTTTACTTTTCGCTCGTTTTCCAGTGAAACAAGATGGCGTAGAACACGCTAAAAAAACGACCTTTTTCACTCTCTTGTTCTTACGTGATCTTGTGTCTTTCGTTCATGGTAGCCCGTTAGAATCGCATTTAGCCGTTTGTTTACATTTCTTCGTTGTTTACAATTTGGTGGTGGCTTTTTACTGCAATTTTCTTCATTTTCGCTTGTGACAACGTGTGTACACATAAGATAAACAATAATTTAACACAACGGCATGATTTATAGAAGAATTTGCATAATAAAATGATTATTCATGCGTTCAACAATTTCGCGGTTTTCTCCGTTCTCTTCGTTGTTTACTTCTTACAACAAAGATGGCGTCGAGATTTCGGCAGCTAGAAAAAATCTTTTTTCTTTCTTTCCTTCCCGCGTGATCTTGCGTCTTTCGTTCATGGGAATGCTATACTCGATATCGAAAAAAAAATATCGATGTCGGCAAAAGAAACCCTATTCCCTATATATTGTGGCGAATACTGCGGCAACACAAAGCGAACAACGAGAAATAGGCAGAATGTTCGACGAATGACGTAGAATGTTCCACAAAGAGAAACGTCAAGTTGGATGAACACTGCGAACAGCGGGAGAAAGAGAATGAGCGATAAACTTCAGAATGTTCTAGAGTTGCCATAAGTGCCAGCGCAGGTATATAAGGGCGCCGCCACAGCGAGGTGAGTTAGTTACAAGTCAGCAAGCTACAAGTAAAGTGAGCAGAGAAGCGAGTTGCGAATAAGCAAGCTATAAGTTTAATTGTGTGTAACAAGTTCAGTAAAGCGTTGTAATTGCTTTAACAAGTATTGTAGTGTTTTTACTGTATTAGCAAGTATTGTAAAATTGTTTGTTGTACAATAAAATTAATTGTACTACCATTTGGTCATCGATAGCCTTTATTTAACAATCCAGCGATACGAACCGGAGTATTTGGGAAATCCGGACCATGAACGAAAGACACAAGATCACGTAAGAACAAGAGAGTGAAAAAAGTCGATTTTTTGAGCGGGTTCTACGCCATCTTGTTTCACTGGAAAACGAGCGAAAAGTAAACAAAGCAAAGAAAACAATGAAAACCAAAATGAGCCGAAATTATTGTCAGCCACTTTAAACGCACAATTTAGGTAAAATGATGCAACAAAATGCTATAAAATGTGTTGTCATGTTGAATTAACTCTTCTTTACTTGAATAAAATTGTAAAATAGTGGTGCTTGTGATGTAAACAAACGCTCAGCTGACGAACCCGCTTTCGCAAACTTTTTTCTCAAAACCAGTTACAAATACAACGTCGCGTTCTTACGTGATCTTGTATTTTTGGTTCATGAATCCGGACGACGTTCAAGGATAATCGTAACAATTGGTGTCAGAAGTGTGATTGTTAAATAAATCCCAGGGAAACTACTAAAAATGGCGAAAATTCAGGACTTAAAAATTGAGGAGCTGAAACAGGAGTTGGAAAAGCGTAATTTGGCCACCTCCGGAAGAAAAGTGGAATTGTAATCCCGGTTGCCAGAGGCTATGGAAGCTGAAGGCATCGACGTGGACAAATACGACTTCCAGGGTAAACCCGACGATGCATCCGCAAAGGACGAACAGAAGGATGAAGCAGCTTGTTCGTCGAAGGATGTGCAGCAGACATCCGGGAAGGTTGAAGAACAGCAAAAGGCTCTTAGTTCATCAACAGCTATAGACATGAAAATGATATTAGCTGCCATGTCACAGATGTCATCACAGCTGTCATCCCAGATGCAAACGCTGGAGACACGTATATCTTCAGAGGTATCAGCGCAGGTGTCATCCCGGCTAGAAGCTCAGCTACTGGCACAAGAGACACGTATATCATCCCAGCTGGAAGCACAGGATGCAAAAATTACACAAATACAGGACAAAATCGAAGAGAGACAGGAGAAAGTCGAGACAAAGGTAGAGGAGTTGGAAGGTCGTCCTCGTGATTTACAGTTGAATCGTCCAGCTACTTCGACGAGCGCACCCAAGGTAAAAACCCCATCCTTTGACGGCACGATTCCTTTCCAGGTCTTTAAGCTCCAGTTCGAAAAAACGGCTGCAGCAAATCATTGGAGCATGGAGGATAACTCCGCTGCACTATTCGTTGCATTGAAAGGACCTGCGGCAGAAATCTTGCAGACTATTCCCGACTGTGAAAGGAACAGTTACGATGCGTTAATGGGTGCAGTGGAAAGACGTTATGGTAGCGAGCACAGGAGACAGATTTACCAGATGGAGCTGGAGAATCACTGCCAGAAATCCAACGAGACTTTACAGGAATTCGCCTCCGAGATTGAAAGGTTGGCTCATTTGGCAATTGGAGATGCATCTGGTGAGCACCTCGAAAGAGTAAAAATACAGAGGTTCATCAACGGAATGCGGGACATGTATACCAAGCGAGAGACGTACGCGAATCCCAAGCCAACATTTGCTGAAACTGTCTCGTATGCTCAGACGCGTGAAACGGAGGCGCTGCTAAGTAGACCAGCCTACAAAGCACATCGCGTGGAAGTGGAGACACCGGACGAGACAAAGGAAATGCTGAAGAAGCTAATCCAACTGCTGGGCGTGAAAAAGCATGGCTCTGGCAAATGTTTTAAATGTGGAAAGCCAGGTCACTTCGCCCGCGATTGCGGTGCAAGTTCCAGTGGGCTCAACAATTCAGCAGGACGCAAACGCAGGGCTGAAGGAGACGAAGCAAACTCCAATCAGTCGTTAAACTGAAACGAGCCAGCAGGAAGGGCCGCGTGCTGGCTCCAGATGTTGAAGGGCCCATAATCTCCGTCTCACAAATTGGCCCGAATGCGAGCAACCTCACTATTGGTGGATGTGTGAATGGGCAGGAGCGAGTGCTGACAGTGGATACTGGAGCGTCACATTCCATTATTCGACCTGATGTGACTACTTTTTATGTGAAGCCACTACCTGGAGCAAAGCTGCAGACTGCAACTGGTGAGCGAACCCAAGTGTTAGGAGAAGTACTATGCGAGGTAATAATCGACGGGTTGGCGTCGTACACGAAGTTTATTGTCGCAGACATCGTGGATGAAGTCATCATCGGCGTGGATTTCCTACTTGGGCAAGGCATGAAGATTGACCTCCAGGGAATGATCCTAACCTATGGCGACAGGAAAGTGCCACTTAGGGTTGGTTACGACAACCAGTGCTTCAGCGGACGGTTGGTCTTAGAGGAAGTGCCGAAGATTCCACCAGAAAAGGAAGTGGTTAGTTGGGAAGAGGTTGACAGTGATGGAGACGAAATGGTTTCGTCAGGAGAAGGAAGTGGTTCACCGATACAGGAAAAGCGTGACGGTTTCGCCAGCTCAGTGAACAAGAGGTCGCAACAAAGAAGTGGTCATGGCAAGACAGGCAGTGTTTCCGGCAGGAGGAAAGCCACTGAACCACGTTGCTATGGTGATACGCCGGTGGCCGGAAATGGAAGCGGCTGTGAAAGCAGTAGGCACGCTTTGAAGTGTCCCAAAAAGGTGGTCGGAAAAGGCGAGCAGTTAAGCCGGAAGCCAAGGTTGAGATTATACATGTCCGGTCAATGAAGTTAGCATCGGCGGATGAGCGAGATACGAAACGACGGTGGAAGTTTCAGCGTAAGGATCCGGATGTAGCAAGATGTGCTAAAGGCAGTGCAGCACGAAGGCGGGAGTCTGGGTGTCATGGACAGATGATGCGGCATAGATCTGGCGAAAAGGGTGCCCATGAGAAGAGACATGGTCTGGTCAGTGGCCGGCAGAAGCACGACCATGTGAGATGGAGCACCACCGGAGATAAGCTGGAAGCAATGTCCAGTAACGCATCGAGCCGAAAGGAGCTACAGGAAGGTGATTCGGTGTTGTTGCACATGCCGCAGCCGAAGAAAGGCTTCACCTCCGAACAACATCGTAACTGGAAAGGTCCATATAGGATTGACAAACGGCTGAAGGACGCAGTGCATCGAATCCAGACAATGGGGAGACCGAGGACCAAGATGAAAGTGGCCCGCTTGGAAAGACTTGCAGCGGTTGGAGCGGCAAGTGTGTCTGATCGGGACGATCAGACTTAGGTGGAGGCCAGTGTGGCGAATACTGCGGCAACACAAAGCGAACAACGAGAAATAGGCAGAATGTTCGAGGAATGACGTAGAATGTTCCACAAAGAGAAACGTCAAGTTGGATGAACACTGCGAACAGCGAGAGAAAGAGAATGAGCGATAAACTTCAGAATGTTCTAGAGTTGCCATAAGTGCCAGCGTAGGTATATAAGGGCGCCGCCACAGCGAGGTGAGTTAGTTACAAGTCAGCAAGCTACAAGTAAAGTGAGCAGAAAAGCGAGTTGCGAATAAGCAAGCTATAAGTTTAATTGTGTGTAACAAGTTCAGTAAAGCGTTGTGATTGCTTTAACAAGTACTGTAGTGTTTTTACAGTATTAGCTAGTATTGTAAAATTGTTTGTTGTACAATAAAGTTAATTGTACTACCATTTGGTCATCGTTAGCCTTTATTTAACAATCCAGCGATACGAACCGTAGAATTTGGGAAATCCGGACGAGGTTCAAGGATAATCGTGACAATATCGATACTGACATCGATTTATTTGCAAGTCTAGCTCTTATGCATTCCTAGTTGCTGGGCGACAGAGCGATTTTTGTTCGCGCAGAATCGAACTTAAATTTCTGACATTGTAAAGAGAGCGGCAGTTAGTGTACGGAAAATATGTAAATATCTAATGAAAATATTGTGCTGAAAAACATAGCACATTCTTGTTAAGTGTGTAATTGACCAAAAACATTACCATGCCGATCTGCGGGCTCTAATATGATATTCGAAAGTAGATATTTATTTGTCTTTAAAAATAATTACTCCTTGGTGTATTTAGCAAGTGTCAAAATGTGTGATTCTTTAAGGAGTTAATTTGCGAAATTTTAAGGCAAAATTCAAGTCTGGAAGGAACCAAGCAAGTAGATTGCAAACGTTGAACGTGCACCGATTATAGCCCTAAATTGAATAAATCAATAGAGTGAAGAGAGCAATGTGCAAAAAAACAAATTATGTACGAATTATGAAAGCAAAAAATTGTACTAAACAGAAGTATGAAATGTTTATATCATCTATTCCCTCTATACTTTCTATATTTCCGTATCGCGTGTGAGTGCTACTTTTGGCGAGACACGAAAAATTTATCTAACGAAGTGATTGAAAATGAGGTAATTATCTAGTTGAGGAAACAACGGCCAAATTGGCAAAATAAGGGGGTCCCTAGTAATAACGATCCGGAGTACTGTTTAGTTATTTGTACAACGATTTTGAGTTGCTGTCCCCAAACGAGTGACCCGAATCAAAGAACTTTAGGACACACTTGTAGATAAGAGTACGCTTTATTACAAAAAAAAAATACTATTACCCCTATGCTGTAATCCGTCGTAGAAACTATTTTGCTTCGAATCGTAAAATTGGTATGCTGAAATCCGCGTTGTATCGTAATTTCGAAAATCGTAGGCCATCTTCGAAATTCGTAATGTTGGTATGCCTAAATCGGACGTAGCTGTCATTTTTATGTATTTGTTGGAAATTTTGTACGAATAGCAACTCGTGTCGGAGCGAAACAAATTGTTTTAAAATATCAATAAAAGAAAGTGTAAGCACAAAAATATGTATGTAAGTTAAAGTGTGAATAGGAAAAAAATGTATTATTAAATGTTTACAAAATTAACAGATCGAAGGGGAAAATTTTAGTAGACGGACGGCAAATTCTAGAAAAAGAGGGGATGATGGGGGTAGAATAGGACCCCCTGATTTCAAAACAACCCCCCTTTTTTCTAGCAACCCTATAGTTCTTTTATAATTTATTGTTAAAGTTTTCATATAAACGATGAATAAGATAGCAAAATAACATACAACTTAGTGCTACCAGACTGGAATTTTGAATAATAAAAGCGGATTTTTAATTCGGAATTTTTACTTAGTAGAATTATTATTTCTGTGTTGCCGAAGAAGGGGGGCTGAACACATTTTGCAGAGAACACCTTTCTGCGTAGGCGGCCTTCGGCCGCACTTAGGGATTATAACCCTCAGGCTGTAGAATTCTCCTTTCTGTTTTGCGAAGAAAAGGAGCTGAACACCTTTTGAGGAGAACACCTTTCTGCGTAGGCGGCCTTCGGCCGCACTTAGGGATTATAACCCTCAGGCAGTAGACTTCTCCTTTCTGTTTTGCGAAGAAAAGGAGCTGAACACCTTTCTGCGTAGGCGGCCTTCGGCCGCACTTCGGGATTATAACCCTCAGACAGTAGAATTCTCCTTTCTGTTTTGCGAAGAAAAGGAGCTGAACACCTTTTGCAGAGAACACCTTTCTGCGTAGGCGGCCTTCGGCCGCACTTAGGGATTATAACCCTCAGGCAGTAGAATTCTCCTTTCTGTTTTGCGAAGAAAAGGAACTGAACACCTTTTGCAGAGAACACCTTTCTGCGTAGGCGGCCTTCGGCCGCACTTAGGGATTATATCCCTCAGGCAATAGAATTCTCCTTTCTGTTTTGCGAAGAAAAGGAGCTGAACATTTTCTTTTGTATTGATTTCCCCTGTATTCCTTTTTAATCATTGCCTTCTTTGTATGTATTGTTTTGTACAATATGGCAACACATGTTATGTGTCACTTTGCAACCATGTGTTATTGTAAATATGCGTGAAATTCAATGTAATTTACAAGACGATAAAAGTTTAATTAAAGTGATTTATATACAAGATAAAATAAAAGAAAAGTGTGTAAAGTATTAAGTACAGTGTTATGTGCATTTATATATTTAAAAGTATGCACAAATGCTTTTTTGTTAAGGAAACTAAGTGGAACGACTTAAGAAATTTTAACAACAAATAACTTATAAACAATGATATTATTTATATTTTTTAGTTATACATGTTTTAGAGGATACCTCCCTTAACATCCTGACCAAGTTTCATTTGTTAATTCCACCTGGTTTTCTTAAAACACAAGGTGCGGCTGACTACTAAAGCCCACCCGATCGAAGCTCACAACAAATCGCTCGCAGTACGAAAAACTGGTGGAATGCATGAGCGAAAGGCCGGACATTGGTCGAGGCCTTGTAAAAGGAGCTAAAGAGGATGTGGTGGAATTTTGGTAAAGCGTTCCAAGAATTAAAGCGGCACAATATCTATTCTAAGCTTTACTCGTGGTGCACCCGGAATCGGCTTTTTCTAAATGTAAAAAAGTGTTTCCTTCATTCCACATTCACTAGAAAATATAGCCCGTGGGTACTGTTTATGAATTTGTACAACGATTTTGGGTTGCTGTGCCCAAACGCGTGAATCGAATCAAAAAACTTTTACACACACTTGTAGACAACAGTTCACGCTTTATTTCAAAAATTTAATTTACTAAATCTGTGCACTAATTTAACAATAATGTCGGTTGGAAATATGGCATTTGTTGCAAATTTTTGTTATAAATTTGTATATACATTTTTATATACAAGATATTTTTATAAAACACCCAGTAACCAAAATAGGCATCACTGGGGCGGCAGCCCCAGGTTTACCACACAGAAAGGGCCGAAGGCCGCCTACGCAGAAATGTGTTCTCTGCAAAAGGTGTTCAGCCCCCCTTCTTCGGACGAAAGCTTAACTTTGTTTTTTCCTTGCAAAAAATCTAAAATTACCCTATTTTCAAACAGCTCCCCAGAGGTCTGTGGGAGGGGTTGGGGGGCGGTCGGGTGACTTTTCATAAAGCGACGTCAATCCTCTTTCGTTTGTGGGGCCCACACCACCTCCCCCTCCGCCCCTAAATCGTTGTACAAATAGCTAAACATTTCCCTAGCCCGTTACTAACTAGTTACAAAATTTCTGGCTCAACCCTCGATCATGTTACAGACTTCAAAGATGTTGGTGTATATTTTGATTCCAAGCTTCGATTTATCACCCACGTCAACTATGTTGTTTCGAAATCGTACGCTATGTTTGCTTTTGTAAGACGTAACTGTTCAGTTTTCTCGGATCCATACACGCTCAAGATGCTATATACTTCATTAGTAAGATCTACGATTGATTACGCAGCCTTCATCTGGAGACCGTATCACGTTACTCAAATTAACCGTATAGAGCGAATCCAAAAAATATTTATTAAGTTTGCTCTCCGTTCTTTAAACTTTACTGATCCTATACCTTCCTACAAATCCCGTTTCCAACTTTTATCCCTGAAAACTTTACAGTCCAGATCTTCCATTCTCTCTTGCAGCTTGGTGTATAACCTGCTAAATTATACAGTTGACTGCCCTGCGCTACTGGAGCAACTAAACTTCTTTATTCATGCGCGGAATCTCCGACACGTCCCTCTTACACTGAGTTTCCTAAATTTGATTACCTCAAATTTGCTCCCACGCCAAGAACTCTATCTGAATTAAATAATGTTCCTAACTTGGACCCGTCCCTGTCGCCTGGAGCTGTCCGGAGCCTACTGTATAATTATTTTAACTAATTACTTTAACTAGTTCCTAAGCAATTCCTTTCTGTAGTCAGTAAGAAATTAATTGTTTCATATGACATAAATAAATAAATAAATAAATGGAGGCCTTTAAAAGGAGGGAGCTTACATTTTATCATTTAAGCTAAATGGATCAGAACAATCTCTTAGCAATCTCCTTTGTATATTAATGCAACTGTTAGCTGTTGTTCCTCCTGGGACAAAAGTGCACCGGCCACTGAATCCTTTGTATTCTACTTAATTAGGGAAAAATCTTCAAATAATGATTAAACTAATTTTTTTTTTTAATTTCACTACTCACTTGCGATTATGTATATTTATTTTGATTTGTTTCTGTCAAAGCAGCTGAGTAAGAATTTCGAATTTCACTATTTTAGTTGGCAACGCTGTTGATAGCTACGATCGGATTACAGCATACCAATTTTCGAATTTTCGGAACTGAGCTACGAATTCGTAACTACGAACTTTCGGATTACAGCATACGGGAGCTATCAAACGCACAACAACAACAACAACAACGCAAAATATCCACGAAACGGCATGAATTGCCGTTTTCAAAAATGTAACTCCCAAATGCCTAAGCCCTTATAGGTCCCTCGGAAGCCTTAAAAAAAATGTGCAAAAATCACAATTTTTACTTAGGTTTTCGCTTGTTTCGAGTTTATGGCTTGAGCCTTTTTGTGTTGCCTGTCAACAGGGGGCCACAATGGGTACATACAGTGACGAGCAAAACTGTAACATGGTGTAACGCTTTTTATATTAGCCGCCGCTATCTTTCCAAGTTCTAACGACATTCATACTTTTGTTGTATATTCGTATTGGTACACCTGTACTTCATCTCTCATAACGAATTGAAAAGAATCCAACAACAATAAAACCAGCAGACAAAAATGTAAATTAAGGCATATGTTACAGTTTTGCACTTATATATTTATACCTTTCATGAGCATGAAATGGTATTATAACTTTGGTCCGATGTTTGTAAGTAAAAGAATAAGAAGAGATAGACCCATTAAAATGTATACTTAAGTGATAAGAACGTCGAGCTGAGTCGATTTAGCCATGTCCGTCTGTCCGTCTGTCTGTCTGTCTGACTGTCTGTCTGTCTGTTCGTCTGTTTGTATGCAATCTAGTCTCTCAGTTTTCGAGATATCCGGATGAAATTTGGTAGGTGGGTGTATTTTTATAATGTATTAATCATTTGTCGGAACCGGAAGAATCGGACCACTATAACATATAGCTCCCATACAACTGATTGTTCAGATATGAGATTTTTCGTTATAACTTCTCCATTTATGCAGCTAAGAACATAAATTTTGCAATACTTCCACCCATTATTAACAGAGAACTTAGAGTGAAAATTACAAAGATCGGATCACTATAACCTATAGCTCCCGTACTACTGATTGTTCAGATATAAGATTTTTCGTTGTAACTCCTCCATTTAAGTAGCTAGTAACATGAAAATTTGAACTGTTGTCACTCATTATCAACAGAATACTTTCAGAGAAAATGGCGAAGATCGGGTCGCTATAACCTGTAGCCTCCATCATTATTAACAGAATATTTACAGTGAAAATAACAAAGATCTGGTCACTATAACGTAAGTAAGTAAGTAAGTAAAGTAACTTTATTTAGCTTTTTTGCTATTTAAGAATATAAAATTTTTCAGGTACACTTATTATATAGTAATTTGTTTATAAGTAATTGTAAGTAATTGTGAGCTAAAATACTGCTCTAACGTAATCTATTAGCAGTCTTTTAAATACATTAATGTTTCTTTCATTTTTGATATCACTTGGTAATTCATTAAATAGCTTTAGGCCTTTGTACATTAAAATATTTTGTGCCTTATTAGTCTTATAAAAGTTAATTCTAAAATCATTTTTGTTCCTTAAACTGTACGGTTGCACGTCTCCAACATACACAATGTGGCTTGTTAAATAATTTGGTAGCAGATTATACTTCATTTTAAATACAAAAAGTAGAACATTCATGTTAGTTCTTTGGTTTATATTTAGCCATTTCAGGGTATCGAGCATATGTGAGGTTGGTGTCAATCTATTACAAATAAGAATACACCGCATTCCCTTATTCTGCAATTTTTGCAGTCTGCTTTTCATTTGGTTGGATCCCAGGAACAGTATAGTTGAGCAATATTCAAAATGTGGCTTTATCATGACATTATATATCTTTAGGGCACTATTTACAGACACTTTTTTGCGCATTCTCTGGAAAAATCCAATTTTTTTTGAGATTTTACTACAAACATAATCTAAATGCTTGTTGAAATTTAATTTTTCATCGATAATAATGCCTAAATACTTAATTTCATCAACTTTGTCGATTATTTCACCATTAACTGTAATGTTTTCATTTGACTCGCCATTGATTATCATTGCCTTTGTTTTATTGACATTAAGTTTTAGTTTGTTCATTTCCAGATATTTGCATATATTTTCCAAATTATCATTCAGCCGCGTAATACATTCCTGACAAGAACTTCCGGTCATATAAAGCAATGTATCATCTGCAAATTGACAAATTTGTACCCCTCCCTGTAGTATATTTTCCATATCGTTTATGTATATTAAAAATAGCAGTGTCCCAAGCACTGCGCCTTGAGGTACGCCTAACATTATTCTTGCTGGCTCCGACACACTTTCCGATACTTTAGTACGCTGCCATCTGTTACTTAAGTAACTTTGAAACCACCGGTATTCAGCTCCCTTAATTCCGTACTGCCTCATTTTTTCCAACAAAATTCCTCTATCAATTGTTTCAAATGCTCGCTTGAAATCCAAGAAAACAGCCACTATACATTTCCCGTTGTACATTTCTGACTTCCAGTGTGAAATTACTAGATTTATTGCCGACTCACAGCTATGACGTTGTCGGAATCCCGATTGGTTTTCCGATATTAGCCGATTATTCTCCATGTAGCCTTCTAATTGCATATGGACCACTTTTTCAAGCATTTTACTTTCGGTCATTAACATATTGATGGGACGTAACTCTTCAGGATTCAGCGTGTTTTTAACTTTTTCTACTGGTACCACCATTGAAGTTTTCCATTCTTTTGGAAATTCTCCCAGTTCGAACGACGCATTAACGATTTCAAGGAGGATTGGACCCAGCACATCAAATTCACATAATATTATTTTTGGGGATATCAAGTTATAGTCTTTCTTGTTATTCATTGCTTTGAGTATACTCTTGAGCTCATTCAATTCTAATTTCTTAAATTTAAATAGTTTATCACAAGGCTTTACGTTGTTTATATATGTCACATTGGGTATATTTCTATTCAGCTCTTCAACACTTTCTATAAAAAATTTATTAAGTTCGTTTGCGATTTCCAACGGGTTTTTTATCTCAATGGATTTCACCATAATTTTGCTAATTTCTGTTCTCTCTTCGTTTAGGACAAATTGTTTTATTGTTCTCCACATCGTCTTTTGGTCATTCGATGCATCAACCTTCTTCGAAATGTAGCTGTTTCGCGCTTTTTCAAGTTCTTTTGAATACCTATTTCGGTACTGTTTATAGTTCTGCCACTCTGCCTGGGAGTTGCTCCATTTTGCTGATTTATATAATTCAATTTTTGTTTTTTTCATTTGGAGCAGATTAGCACCAAACCACCCATCAAAGTTTCTTTTTTGTTTAACCGTTCTAGCCGTAATCATTTTTTTGATAGGTTCCTTTATTTTCTCACTGAAAATGTTCACAGTTTCGTTAAAATTATGTATGTCAATTTTCGAGAATTTTGACTTTGCTATTTCTTCAGCGAATAGAATATTGTCAAAGCGGAACTTTTTTATTACTTTCACGAGCTTATTGCATCTTTCCTGTCTTTTTTTTATATTAATTTCAATGGACTCATGATCACTTATTTTATAGTTGGCGTTAACCTTGGCTTCGGCTTTTGAAATATTAGTCAATACATAGTCAATTAGCGTTGCGCTAGTTCTTGTGGTTCTTGTTGGTTCCAGAACTATTTGCTTTAATGCATTGTCTGACACTGACTGACAAATTTGGTCCCTGTAGGCACTATTTCCCAGCCAATCAATATTAAAATCCCCCATTATGAGAACTTCTGTACCACTGTCACACAATTGCTCAATTTTTTCTTTAATAAAGTCACAAAACACCATTTCTGGGGATCTACGTTTGTCAGGTGATCTATATAATCCAATTAAGGTTATATTAATATTTTTTTGCCTAACCATTATTATTAAGCACCATATACTTTTTTCGATCGCTGTTACCTCTATAACTTCAATCTGCCATTCTGGGCTAATATAAAATAGAACACCTCCTGTATGGTTTGATGTGCTATCACATCTCACAAGCTGATAGTCACTTAGTTTTATTTCACAGTTCTGTATTGAATTCGTTAAATGAGTTTCACTCACACAGATAAACTCGAATTTTACACCAAATGATATGGCTTCGAGCTGGTTAAAGTTTGTCCTTAAACCGCCAATATTTAAATACAAGCCTCTTATCACTGAATTTGATTGCTAATATTGAATCCTTTCGGACTCAATTTTTAACTTCTTTTGTAATGTCTGACAATCAGGGCTTCTGCTGTCGTGATTTACACATAAATCAGCCAGATTAAGTCTCTCCTTTGTTTTTACACAATTAACGCACTTTAGAACATCGCTTGTACACTGTTGGTATGCATGGCCTTTCTCGCCACACTTAGCACATATTTGCAGGCTTTCTTTACACACTTTGCTTGTGTGGTTGTAACCCCAGCACTTATAGCACCTTAAAACATTGTGGCTTTCATACACCTTGCACCTATCCCATTCCACGTTAATTTTTCCAAGTTCCATAACTTATTCAAAACCTTTCCCATCAATTTCAATTATTGCGTTGTGCACCGCTGGATTTTTGTAGGATTTGTACACTTTAATACACTTCAAGTAGCTCTCCTGCAAATTGTTTTGAGTTTTTATTGCTTGAGCTATTGTCTCCCCATCGAGCATTTCACTCAATCCACATATCAATATCTTTGGCCTTTTCATTGCTGGTAGATGAATGTCATATTTTTCACTCACTTTTTCTTTAATATCATTTACCAATATTTTCCTCG